CCTCCTTTTTCTTATGTTGTTGACATCCGGCCCAATCTCTGCCTGATCAAAACAAAATCCAGCAGAAAACAACAAAAAAGGATATTCTAGAAAAGTGACAAACAGATGTGTGTTTTACGTTTGAGAAAACAAAGTTTAAAAGTTCCAAATAGAAAACGGTCATTGACATCATGGCATAAGCAGCGTTGTGCTTTACGCTGGGGACACACTGGCCGCGGAAGCGCAGCGAAAATGGGACCGCCTTCATTTGGCGCCCTTGTTAAGCTATTCTATAGACCACATGGGCCGCCGAAGCACCGCGAATCGCCTCGCGCCGGCGCTCCAGCCCGCGCCGTGCAGCGATCATTTCGGCGTCGGCTCTGTAGCGTAATGGTTTATGGCTCTTTTATGAAAGATGAACCATTCTACATAATAATCTGGAATATTAATGTTAACAAATCAATAACCAAATTTATAGAGATAAGAAGACTCAAAGGTTGTTTTCATTGATAAACTGACGATCATATCCGTTTGTCTGTGTTTCAGTTCAATGAAAAGACAAGTTTAAAATTTAAGAGTTTTAATTCTTTAATTTAAACTAACGATTTAAAATGACAATCATAGGAAAACAATCAACATTGGCAACCTTTTGGACAATCTTTAACAGTTGATATTTTAAGCTTGCACAAATAGACCTTGTGTTGGATGTGCTAAGATTGAGGATGATGGAATTATGAATGTGTGCATGCAGGTGTGTGAGATTGCTTCAGGGAGAGGGAAGATGTGTGAGTGAAAAATGATGTTTTGTAATTAAACTTAGTTCTTATTAGAAAACCAGCATCAGAACGCTATCTTATGTGTTCTGCCTCACCGTACTGAGGACCCCCTTTTAGATCCAGACGTCACAGGAGGATGTGTTATCCAGGTCACACCTTGGCTAGCAGAGAAGACGAAGGTGTGCGACGGTCCAGTCCAGAGTTGAACTCGGTACACATTGCTGAAGCGTTAGGCAGATGCGCTTTCTCAAGTTTAAATTAGCTCAGAAACCAAAAGACTCTAGGACGAGTCTGCGTTAGCTGGTTGCATTTCAGCTATCCTGTCTGGCTTTACAGAAATAGCGTGGTGGGAGGACAGGAGCCGGCAGGGCTCCTTTCCCTGTCGCGTTTGTACCGCACGTCCGCTCTCTTTCGTTTTCACTCTCATTTTCACTAACTTACCAAAAACCACTTCTCTTCCCAAAGCAAACTTGTTGTGCGTCAGAGCAAATGTGTTTTGAAGTTACTGTGTATACAGACCTGTGTGAGCGAGTGTGAAGGTCATCGCTAAACATCTTCAAAAACATTATTTAATTAAGTATACTGATTCATTATAGTTCATTATGATTACCCAAAGCATAATAATCATTCATTTGATTAAAATACATATATAATGAGCAAAGTGATCAAATGATTATTTAGCATTAATAAACAAAGAAAGCGTAAGACTCTTTTATTATGACTAGATTGTGTGAGAAGTCCTTCTTCTGGAGCTGCAGGTGTTGGATGTTGTGGAATTCTTCAGACTTGCTGTCGGCTCAGGTCTTAATCTGTGGGTGAAGGTGCTGCGTGACCCAGCTCTGACCCAGCCGGGCAAATACGACCTTTGGCACAGAAAACCCATACTTCCTCACGTTACAGCTCTATTTTTTTCGCGAGCCGCGGGTGAATCGCGTCAATTCTGGCAGGAAGTCAACCCTAGACATAAAGGCAGGCCAGTAAAGTTAACAAAATAAAGCATTTCAAAATAAAATTCCGCAATAGTCAAATGTGTTCGTAATCCGACACTACACACACACACACATCGAACTTGTGTGCGTGTGTGACCACGTGAAGGGGTGTGTGGTTTTGGGTGTCTTTTCACCGGAGCAAACAGGACAGAGAGGCAGAAAGTCTGAGGCAAGCAGTTAAGATGGATGACTTTAAATTAATTATGGAAGTTGAGAAACACAAGGAGCTGTACGACCCCCGAAAAACATAATTATTTACGTACCCATTTAGGAAGAAACTGCTAGGATACAGCTCTTGGAGCGGGTTCCAAGAGATTCAACTGGCAGAAACAATTCATACCATAGGTTCAGACACACACACACACACACACACACACACACACACACACACACACACACACACACACACACACACACACTCAAACGTAGAGGAAAAGAGCTGAGAAAAGGCAGAGAGGAAATGGAGGACACCAAGTTTTTAAAAGAAAAACTACAGCTGAGCCGAGGCGCGCCTCGACTGGGGCGCATCTGATCTGAACTGAGGAGCGGCGAGCAGCGGCCGAATTTCGTGAGCGATTCGCTTCTCGGCGCTTCGCGGCGCTTCCGCGGCCGGTGTGTCACCGGCGTTAACCCGCTTTGTCTCCGATCACCCGGAAGACGAACGTTTACGTGGTCATGGAGGCACCCTGATAGCGCGCTGAAGGAGCAGACGACAAAATGAGCTTCAGATCAGAAAATCTCAGATTGTTTTCAGAGCATCTGTATTTTATGGTTTCAGCACAGATTTAATTTGGACACTTGAGCAGTTTCCAGGGTTCGTGGAAATACCGTGCTGCAGAGCCAGAGGCAGTCATTTCCATGTGAAAGTGGGTATTCAATGAGCTGCAAAACTGACTGGATGAATTAATGAATGATATGAATAAATAAATAAATATAGAGAGAAATAGGAAGTGATTAAAAAATAAAAATAATCTCATTCAGGGTTCTGCAGCCAGCTCTAACCATGGTCGTTCTGAAAACTTTGGCTAAAAATGTTATTAAATTTAATAAGAAATGCAGGTTTAAGCAACTTTTCTACTTATGTGATAAATTCATTGGATTTTCATAACAGAATGACGCAAAAAGTACCTTTAAGATTTTGTGTCTGTATTTTTATACATAATACTGCAAATAACATCCAATAACCAGTGTTGGGAACGTTACTTTAAAAAAGTAATTAGTTATAGTTACTGATTACTTTGTCAAAAAAGTAACTCAGTTACTAACTGAGTTACAAGATCATAAAAGTAACTAATTACCAACAAAAATAACTACTTAGTGTTTTTTTTTCATTAAAGCATGCAAGAATTACTACAATAGTAAAATATAAATGACTAATGACTGGAACATAATAAAATGTATGTCCAAATGTTTTTTATAAACCTGAATAATTTAAATAAATAAGCACTTAACAGGAGGAACTACTAACAGGAACATTACACTTATCTAGACTATTAAAAGGTCACTGTGTGATATTCAACAAGACCCCAATCAGCTACAGTTTAAAATTGCAAATAGAAACACCTGTAAAGGTTCCCGAGCCTTTAAACGGTCTCTCAGTCTAGTTAAATTACAGAAAAAAATGTAATTTTGCACAGTATTCTAATTTTTCCAGCTTCACATAATTGTGTGTTTTTAGCATTTCTGTTGCTGCTAATCTAGTAACGGTTAAATAAATAAATAAAATCCTTTAAAATGACACTAGAAGAGGCACAAGCCTGATGGAGGACTCACATTTACTAACTTGGGTCAGACCCAACCACAGAAGAGCTGCAGCTGGGTGGTAAACACACACAGGTAGTTCTAATAACACCTGAGCTCCATGACGTCTGAGACTGATGCATCAGTGTTACAGCGGGACTAAAGACATGATCAGAAACAGGTTACAGCTGGATGATCTAGGAAGGTAGAAGATCAGGACGTCTGAGCGGTGAACAGGTGAGCGGACCTTCGGGACGTCCCGCTGTCACGCTAAGAAGGGCACGGCTGCAGATCCACACCTGCAGCCGTAGACTATTCATCACGTCTTCCTCGTTCTTCACGGGCCGTGATGCTCTTGGGTGAAAACATCTGCCTCTTTAGCTCCTGATCAGCTGATGACAGCTTCAACACACCGCGCTGCTTAACGCACACATTTCCTTATCAGTAACAGAAACGATCGTTTTCATAAAAGAAGACGTAATTAATTAGTTTGCTCGTTACAGAAAGAAATATTTTTTTATTAACGTGGTTATTTTAAACGGCGTTATTACCATCACTGCTCTGTTGTGTCTACAGCAGGCAGTGACTGAGACAGTGAGGGTCTCCGCCCACCCGGCCAATCATCATCGTGTTTGTAAGTGCGTTACCGACACCTCTCTCTCCCATGCTGCAGCTGATGTGTGGCGGTCAAAAAGCCTCACACTGTTGCTCAATGTTCGACAAGCACATAGTAACGCACAACCTTCCGTCCCCAGTAACGGTAACGCCGTTGCAACGGCGGGAAAAGTAATTAATTAGATTATTCCGTTACCTATAAAAGAACGCCGTTAGAAACGCTGTTATACTTAAACGGCGTTACTCCCAACACATCCAATAACATAATAAAAACGGATTCACTGTACTTTGTGCAAAAATTCTAAAACGTTTAAAATGTTTAACGTAAGATATTTATCGAAAGGACAGAAAGGACAAAAGACTTGACTTAAATTTCAGAAGATATTCTTTTTTTCTAGTGGCCCTAATCCTCTTCCAGGTATTTCTCTGATATTATAAATGCTTTTTAAGTTCCTGCACATCTGAACTAGTTTTTCGTTTGTTGTCGGAGAGCGGAAATGGCACTTTGGATCTCTGGTCCAACTAAAGTCTCATCTTGAGCGGATCAAATGGAAATAGTCTAACGCCGTGACTTTTTAAACTCTGCTAACATAAATAAATATTAACAGGTAACTCATATTTAAACCATGTAAAACAAATATTTAACTAAATGCTGTGGCAGAGAGATAAATGAGACCAAAGTTATGGATTAAAGGGCTGAATTACAAACAGAAGACTTCCTCTGAGACTAAAACACATTATAAAACTAAGTTGTCGTATTTCCCAGGTGAAAATCAGAATCTCTGGATACGAAACAGCAGCTGCTCCTGACCTGCTTACATCAATTGATCTCATTAATGTTGCAGTGGCCGTTCATAGATGCTCCACAGAGTAAAAACAAACACAGAGCTGCCCTTCTTACCCCGTTTATCGGATATGTCTTCCATCCCAGCTCTCCGAGTACTGACGTCGTATCCAGCAGCACGACTAAAACAAGAAAAAAAAAAGGGGTAAGCAATCAGACAACATTAATTTAATTATCAGCCTCACACACCTGGTTATGCATTTCCTTTATGGATGAAAAGACTGAATGATCATTGCTTCTGAGAGCATGGTTCCCCTGATTAGTCAACAACGTAGTGTTTTATCTTCTGCCATCATCTCAAACTTGAAGGATTTGGGTGTTTTTGACCAATCAATGCCTCTTGAAGGTCCGAAACAGTTTATCACTTAAGAAATATCTCCAAACTGTGAAGGTTGGTGTCAAAACGTGAACTTGAAATGGTTATCCATGCCTTTATCTCCTCCCGTTTAGATTACTGCAACACACTTTTCACATGTTTTAAGAAAGAAGCCCTTGACCGCCTTCAGTTGGTCCAGCGAGGCTCCTAACTGGAGCAAACAGAAGAGTACACATCACTCCTATTCTATTGTCTCTGCACTGGTTACCCGTTAACTTTAGAGTTCATTTTAGAATCCTGATTATAACTTTCAATGTTCTACATGGTCAAGCTCCTCCCTATATTACTGAACTGTTAAAGCCTTATGCTCCAACCCGAGCCCTCAGGTCCACCATCCAGAACCTTCTAGAAGTTCCAAAGACCAGATACAAAAGTCGAGGAGATTGCTCCTTCCAGACTGCTGCACCCCGACTCTGGAATGATCTTCCTTTATCCTTACGTAGCATTGACTGTCTGGACACTTAAAAACAGCTGAAGACCCTTTTACTTAAGGCTGCTTTTACACAAGTCTTTTATTTCTTATTCTTAACTTGAATTTATAATCATCATTCATTTGTTTTATGGTATGACTTAATTTTTCTGATTTAAATTTATTTCTGTTTCAAGATTATTATTTATGACTTTGTGATTTTGTTTTATTCTGATCTATGTGAAGCACTTTGTGATTTCTCTGTCTGCGACGAGTGCTATATAAAAAAAATTTACTTACTACATCCGATCCGGGGCTGCAAATTCTGACTAAAGCATCATTTAAATGTTAAACTTTCAGGAATACTATAAAATAATGTAGTTTAATTGTAAAATATTTTCAACCTTGTCAATATTTGTTTTTGTTCGCAAGGGCAGCAGATTTTAATAATTCAAGAGGATTTCTCTAAGAGAAAAAAGATTTACAGAGGAAAGAAGCAGTCTGCCTGAATTCTCCCCAGTGACACATCAGCACATCCCATAAAGTAGAAGATTTTTCCCTGACTTGTGACATCATGATGGAATAAACAGCAGACAGAGACCCCAAAGTGTTCGGAAAAATTCATAAATATTAAACAAGACCCGTCTAGTCACCTTGTCAAATGAGCTGAGAACACGCTACGTGTGACAATACCGTTACAGTTTGTCCTAATTATACACAGTAACATGGCTACACTGTAGAAACTGTGAATGGAGGAGTGACGGGATACAAAGTCACACCTGGCCACATTGTAGCTAATCATCACCAGGGTGTGAATGGATGAGTAACCGCCAAATTCCACTACCTCCGCTCCGCTCCGGCACGAACTCCGGAGCAAAATCGGTCCCGTTGTAGTCAATCAGAGCAATTCCACTACTGCGGCCGTGCTCCGGCAGTGCGGCGCCGTGCGCCGCCCTCTGTTCCGGCGTCCGGCAAAAATAGAATCGATCCAATTTTCGCCGGACGCCGGAACACCTCCGCAGTAAATGGACAGAAATCACAACCGCCCAACAGGAAAGGGAGCAAGCACAACTTCCGTTATTCACAATAAATCGATAAACAAAAGGCGTTTTTTGTTTCATATGCACAGGTTTAACAACTTTTAACAACTGTCAATGGCGGCTGAAGTTTAAATGCACAAAAGTAAGCCATAAATACAGTTTCCACTATCAAAGTAGTCACACTTTGTTGATCCAAACACTGCTGATCTCTCAACACAAATGATGGGCAGATTAAACAGTTCATGCCGATGCTTCTCCCACACAACGGGTGTTTGGATCTAACTTCCGCGTTTATTGCTCGGACTGTATCGCAAGATCTCGAAAATCCCGCGCATGCTTGTTTGCCCCCCTCAGGTCTCCGCACCGGAGCGGAGCCGTTGTAGAGCGGGTAGCAGTAAAAATTGAGTTCGGAAGCGAGCGGCTGCGGAAGGCGGGGGCGGAGCGGAGCGGAGGTAGTGGAATTTGGGGGTAAGTCTTCTCCCCTTTCCGGTCGGCTCATGTGACCACAGAAGAACAAAAAAATGAATGCAAGTCAACGGAGCTAACCCGCTTTGCCTTACGCCCTGGATCACACATATGTTGTACTGCAATTTAAGTGAAAATTAATGACGGGTGTTTCAACCAGTCACGTACTTTGAGATTTATCAGCTTGTAAAAGTTCGTAATTAGCATGACTACACACCAGAAGGATGTCACCTCATCCTCTCCTTTAGCTTCACTGTTATTTTGTTATTTAAGGAACAAACTAGACTTGTTTTTATCAGGTCTTGTAACCGTAGCCAGAAACAAGCAGCGAGTGTTACCATGACGCAACGGAGTATGGTTCTGTTCCAAAGGCCGTTGAATGCCGATAGAACGGACTTCCTGGTGTCCTTGCCAAGAACACACACTAGTACAACAAGAAAGTACTAGCGTCCTTGAGTAAAACGGCCCTGCTGATCCAAGCCAAAGACATCACTCGACCGAGTCGATGCCTCACTGGCGTCATGTGACCAGAGAAGTGTCATTTTATTGGCTAAAATCCATTCCACTTGATTGAGTGATAGTTACTTTGTATTGGAGTTCTGATTTTTAAAACTTTTATTTGATTTGTGAAAATTCAAAGGAAACCGATTTAAGCACTTTTCTAGGCCACATTGGCTCAGCTCAAAAACACCTAGACTTTTCAAACCTTAACTGGATTATTTTACGCTAATAGAGTCCTCAAAACATTGTTTATGAAACCTTTATTTGATTTGTTAAAGTAAAAAAAAACACACAAATTTGAGAACTAAGACCATCTGGTCCACCTTAGATGTGGTTCTGCTCAAAACTCCAACACTCTTCAAACCTGGACTAGATATTCCACGTTACCATCAACATCCATAAGACAGTTGGTAGTTTGTGAAACCTTTAGTAGGTTAGTGAAAGCCCAAAGAAGGCAACTTACTCCAGTTATTTATTGTGAGTTTGAATGATCGTGCAACATATTTTTCAGTAGCCCTGCGATGCTCTCTGTCCAGGGTGTACCCTGCCTGATTGCCCACTGACCGCTGGAGACAGGCACCACAATCATACCTGCCATGCAAAACGAGCATGAAGGAAAAACTGTTGTGATGAAACTTCACTTTTTAACCAGAAAAACTGTTTTGTTGCTCCAGAACGGTTTTCAGCTCAGACACATGTGGCCTTGTCAGTTCGGTCAGATTGCCAATGAGCATCAACTGCATTGATGACATCACCATAGCTCATTTCTGATTGGTCAAACTGAGAATGTTACAACTACCTGCGTTACGACCATCCCTGGCCTCTACTGAACTCACCCAGCTACTGCTAAACTTACACAGACGTGTGTTTTTGCTACAGACTCCTCAGGAATAATCAGACAGTAAAACCTTTCCAAATACTTTAACGCTCCATGTTTACGTGTCGGTGACACAAAAAGGTAAGTGGGCCATGAGCCGGGTAGCAGAACAGGAACTCCTGGTGAGCCGGAGGTTTTCCAGACGTATGGATTAGAAGAGAAAAACAAACGTTTCCCTGAGCTTTCCAGCGTAGATGGTTTAATATGTAAACACATAAATGCTGAACATGAAAGTTACCTACATAAGGAATATATTATTTTGTGACAAGATGAAAAATATGACATGATGACACTTTAGTAATGAAATAATGTGATTAACTCATCAAAATCAAGAATTTCTAATGAATTTTAAACTGGATTTATCAAACTCCCTGTTCTATTATCCTGATGATCTTTTATTCTGGAGAACTCTAAATGTTCAGTTTTGTTGAACGACTTCAAACAAATTAGATGAACAGATTATTTTTATTTCATAACCAATAAATGGTGAGAACAAAAATACGATTACTTTTAAAGGTGCAGCTTTATATAACTGTTTATTGGCTTTTCCTAAAAAAAATGCAGAAAAATTAAGTAAAAGCATGAAATCCTGAGCACCAGATGATATTTATACAGCAACGGTTTACCAGAATCGAAGCTTTTTCTTGACCGGCTGCTGAGAGCGTTTAATGACTCACGCTGGGTTACAGCAGTGTGAGATTAGGTGCAGAAAATGGACATTGATCTATATGAAATTGCAGCAGATTATCTTATTGATTGACTGCGCTGTCCAGCACAGCAAGAGGAGACTACATGCTGATCGTTTTATCCTCCAACCCCGTTTCCCTGCAACACTAGTTTAATATTTCCTCTACTGGCTGCTTGTTCCAGCAGCTCTGTGTCCTCTTCTGCCCACTGATGTCGGGCTTGTTCCATTTCCGCCAGGCTGGAGGACAAGCAGGCCGAGCCAAATGCGGTTAATGGACACCATTTGGCTAGAGTGAGCAGGAAAGCAGCACAGTTGCTGCAAAAGAAAATGCTCCATTACTGATAGTTGCTTGTTTCTCCCTGCGGTCGTTTACAGTAGAACACGTCGGGTAATAGTCGTCGCTCAAGATTAAAACAGACTTCATTTACTTTGTTTTAAGCGACACCAGGGACTTTATGCTTTCATATTTACTATTTCACCCAGTGGTCCAGTGGGTGTGGCCGTATGAACTCAATAGGATTCTCTATGAAATTTTGGATGATGCATCAGTTAGGAAGCAGAGTTCATGTCTATCACCTAAAAAATGAAAACAGTTTGCATTTGAGGTTTTAAAAGCTGCAGAAAATCTTTGGTTTCCCATTTGGGACCGTTTTGGTGTTCCTTGTGGTTTATTTTCATTCAGCGCTTCATGCAGGCTCACAACTGCTGAGCATGTTTTAGGCTAACACGGACATTTTCACATTATGTGACCAGAACAGCAATAACA